GTGAGTGCGACCATCCACATCCAAACTCAGATCCACACTCTACATGCCTCTATTTGAAAGAGAAAGAGTAGAAGCAACCAATGTGGTATTGAAAAACCAAACTCAATGAATATTCAAATAACGTGATTCGATAACGTATAAATAACCAGGGAAGATCATTACTTATCCATATTTCATTGCAGTATTTGAACTAAATGTCAGAAATTAACCATGTCTAAGATTCAAAGAAAGTTTTTCTCTCACTGGATAATTGAAGCAAAAAAATTACCTAGTAATTGAAAACTGAAAAAAAAACTGACGATAACCATTACGATTATTTACTAATAAATAACTCTTGGTATTGCATATGGTAGTCATCGAACGTATATGAAACATCTAATTAGTCTCCAATGTGCTTAATTTCGATTCATTATTCTTCCAGAATGAGAAAAATATACCGTATTATATTCGATGTTGACTAATATGATCTTGAGTACACAACTTTCCGAGAAGAAATAAAAATGGGTTTCGCGTAATTTAGGTTTTTGTATCATAAAAATAATAAGAAGAGAAGTATTGTACTGAATCTTATAGCTAGGCAAGTACAGATCTGCTAGCTTTTGCATGTATTTTGTATCAATAAAAAATAATTAACGCAGTCGGCAGGATTCGAACCTACGCTCCCAGAGGGAATATGATTTCAAGTCAGACGCCTTAACCACTCGGCCACGACTGCTTCTTTATTTTGATTTCAATTTAAGCTGAAGTGTGGCTGTGACAAGATTGATCGTTTCATTATCATTATTGTTTGTATGCATAATTCCATTCACATTCTCACTGGCAAAGAGCAGAGCAAGTAAATAAGTAAACCGAAAAGTCTTACTTCATGCAGGGGTGTGGATGTGGAGTTGGCGTCGTATGAGCGTGAGTGCGACCATCCACATCCAAACTCAGATCCACACCCTACATGCCTCTATTTGAAAGAGAAAGAGTAGAAGCAACCAAAGTGGTATTGAAAAACCAAACTCAATGAATTTGAATAACAATTAAGACAAATGTCAATGTGCAATTAGTAATGATGCACTATTACTTTATTTATTCGCTTATATTGATTCTTTACTTGTACATACATACACACATATTCTTACATTTTAATTTCGATTACATGTGTAAATAGAAAAAAATTAAGTGATACTCTTTCTTTCAGTTCTTTGCCAAACATATTTCAACAAGAGAGAGAAAAAAGTCGTCAAATGGTCGATGGCAAGAAAGTGAATAAATTTTATCGTTCTACTTGGAAATGAATATTTGTCTGATCCTATGTATACATTAACAGAAGCTTTACTCAGATATGCAAGTATTGTTGGCAATGGAAGAACGTAAAAAAACGAAGTCATTATTGCAAAAGGAGAGAATTGACTTTTTCATCGCAAATAATAATCTTACCATATAAATTCAAAAGGTAAAGCAGTAGATGATTCAGAGTTTATTAATGTTTAACGTATCAGAAGCTCTTTTAGCGTACGTACAAAAATCTCATAAAACGTTGATAATTCTTTTTTCGTAAGTTACAAAGGGTTTCTTATGTGTTAAACTTTCATAAACCATAAAGCTTTAATTATTCTACCTTTTTTTTAGTGTACTATTACATGCAAACAAACATAGTTATTAAGGTTCAGTAGTATGAGTCAACAAAGTTCCAAAACTTCAGCTGCAACTGAATCATCATCAATAACAACAGTAAAACTGCAAAGCAACCATCCTCAACGGCGAAAGTTTCAGAACTTGCTTCTTGTTTGGTTGGATGCGAATATTGATCTGTCAAAAAAAGAATCTCAAAATACAATAGAACAACTACGATGTGTTATTCATGATGTCAACATCTTCACTGATGCTGACAAATGTATTGATTTTCTTAGAGACATTGACAATGAAAAGGTATTTGTGATTGTTTCGCATGGTTTTGACCAACAGATAGTGACTCTTATTCACTCATGGTCTCAAGTGGACTCTATTTATATATTATGCAATGAGAATTTTACACAGGATTCATGGATCAAAGAATGGTCCAAAATTAAAGGTGTCTACAATGAAATAAAGTCTCTTCAAAAAGTCCTTCAGGAAGCCGTGGAAAAATATAATGAAAACGTTAATCCAATTAGTTTGCTTACAGCTAGTGATGATTCCCATATTCAAAATTTAAATCAATTAGAACCTTCGTTCATGTACACACAAATCTTTCAAGAGATTATACTAGAAATGACTTTTTCTCAAAACGCGCTCAACAAATTCGTCGACTTCTGTCGCAAAGAGAACTGTGGCTCATCAAAGAACATCAAGCGTATTGAGAACGAATATTATTCTTATAGCGCCATATGGTGGTATACTTTTCCATCATTTATTTATTCTATGCTTAACGATGCACTTCGTACTCTCGAAGGTGGTACCATCATTTTAATGGGTTTCTTTATTAAGGATCTTCACCGTGAAATCAAGCAACTTTATCAACAAAGATCGAATGAGTATCGTGGAGAATCATTCACAATCTATCGTGGACAGAGTTTATCGACACAGAACTTTGAAAACCTGAGAAATACAAAGGGTGGACTTCTATCTTTTAACAATTTCTTATCAACCAGTAAAAACGAAGAAATAGCTCGTCAGTATGCAGAGATTGGAACGTTGAGTATGAACTCAGTCGGCATCTTGTTCAAAATCACCATTGACCCGTCTATATCATCAGTACCGTTCGCTCCCGTCGACCAGATGAGTCACTTCAATCAGGAAGAAGAAATGATTTTTTCTATGCACAGCGTATTTCGCATTCATGACATCAAACAAATCAATAACACAGATCGACTTTACCAAGTAGATTTGGAACTGACTTCCGATGATGATAAACATTTACGAAAAGTTACCGAACGTATACGAGAGGAAACAAAGGGAGAAATAGGATGGAGACGATTGGGACAATTATTAATTAAAATTGGCCAACTCGACAAAGCTGAAGAACTGTTTAAATTTTTACTCGAGCAAACAAACCAAGAGAATTATCAGGCAGCAATTTATAATAGTCTTGGATATATCAAGAGCGATCAAGGTAAATATAAAGAAGCGTCAAATTTTTACGATAGAGTACTTGATATTCTCCAAAAGCAAATTCCTATTAATTATGTATTGTTGGCTATCGTCTCTAATAGCATCGGTGTACTATATCAACGCCAATGGGATTACTCAAAATCCGTTTCGTTTTACGAAAAAACATGTCAAATTCTTCGTGAGATTCATTCTTCAAATGACCCCTTATTGGCCAGCACCTATAACAACATCGGAACGTTGCATGAACACATGGGGGAGTGCACAAAAGCAATTGAGATTCATGAACAAGCATATGACATCTATAAAACATTTCTTCCTGAGTATCATCCCTCATTGGCTAACTTTTATAATAACATGGCTTCAGTATACGACAAGTTAGGCGAGCACTCAAAAGCACTTTTGTCTTATCAAAAAGCACTTGAAATTAAACAAAAATCTCTTCCTGAAAATCATTCTTCATTAGCAACTGCCTACAACAACATCGCTAAAATGTATTACAACACAGGACAATACACTGAAGCACTTTCATTTTTTCAAATAGCACTTGATATCTACAAAAAGATTCATACTGAGAATTATCCTTCTTTGATAAACTGCTACAACAATATCGGTGAAGTGTATCGAAGTATGGGACAGTACTCACAAGCACTTTCATTTCATAAAAAAACACTTGAAAATCGAGAAAAATTTCTTCCGCCCAATCATCCTGATTTTGCTCAGTCATATAATAACATTGGTTTAGTGCGTCACAACATGGGAGAATACTCTGAAGCACTTTATTTTCAGCAGAAAGCACTCAAAATTCGAGAAAAGGCTCTTCCACCTAATCATTCTGATGTGGCTCAGTCCTACAACAACATCGGTTCGGCATATCACAGCATGGGAAATTACTCTGAAGCACTTAAGTTTCATCAGAAAGCACTCGAAATTCGAGAAAAGACTCTTACTCCAAATCATCCTGATTTGGCTAATTCTTATAACAATATCGGTGGAGTATTGGACGATCAAGGGAAGTATTCAGACGCACTTCCGTTTTACAACAAGGCGCTCGAAATCCACAGAAAAACTCTTCCGTCAAATCATTGTTCTTTCGCTGATTCCTACAACAACATTGGTGAAGCCTATCGAAGCATTGAAAAGTACTCTGAAGCACTTGAGTTTCATCAGAAAGCACTCGAAATTCGAGAAAAAAATCTTCGAGAAAATCATCCCGATTTAGCTCAATCCTACAACAACATTGGTTTAGTGTATCACAAGATGAGACGAAACTCTGAAGCACTTCGTTTTCATCAGAGAGCACTCGAAATTCGAGAAAAGACTCTTACTCCAAATCATCCCGATTTGGCTAATTCTTATAATAACATTGCCTCAGTATTTGATGATCTGCGAGAGTACTCAAAAGCACTTTTACTTTATAAAAAGGCGCTCGAAATCTACGAAAAAACCCTTCCACCAAATCATTCTTCTTTCGCTGTCTCTTGGAACAATATTGCTTCAGTTTATTATAATATTGGAAACTATTCAGACGCACTTTCATCGTTTGAATGTGCTCTAGGCATATGGCAACGTTCGTTACCTGCTGAACATCCCTATATTCAAACTGCACGCAACAACATAGAACTTGTTAAAAAGACTATTATAATTGACTGACTCATGTGTATATTTTGTGGAGCGGATCTAAGCATATGAAAACAAAATGTAGATGTGTATAAATAGTAGCGATGAATATTACGAAAGATTATGGTGGTTTGCCAATTTATTTTGTGAATTCGAATGTTCTTCTTTTTAGTCTAGCGCTTGTTAAAGAGAGGATTAAAATTTAAAGTAGACGCAAAATTTTTGATTTTCGAATAAGGAAATTCTATAATTACCTTAATTTCAGTTTTCTGCCTTATAATTATATTTCAATCAAATAGCTATTGTAATAGAAATGAACTAATAGTTCATCAATTTTCTTTCCATTATCTAAAAGTATTGCGAGTAGACATAATCAATCTTTTACACCTTCTCTGCTTTATCAGCCGAAGGAATCATTTCTGTAAGTTATTCTCATAAACCTTATTGTAAATTTATAATGTATTTAGCAGAAAAAGTTCTAAAAATCTTGTTGAGCACTATGTAGAGTAATCAACAAACAACCAAAGCGTACAAGATTAATAGTTTGTTTCTGTTTGACTAGGATACTTCAGTCTCAATATGAATACTCCAAACGAATCAAAAATAACCCATTCGGGAAAAGGAAATAAAACATTTACAGTTTTCTAAGAACCTTTCAAAACTTTTATGTTAGTGGTCTGTAACTTAAAGTAATTTGAAAATGCAATTTTCAGTTTGTGGGTGTGCATGTATGTAATGACCATCTTAAAAAAAACATTCAAAGTCACATGCACACCAAAAACTTTTCTACAAACCCTGTGTGGTTTCCTTTGTAACTTCATCACATTTTCTCTATACATTGAGCTATCATCTTAAAATATAGGAAATGCCTAGATTATCGGAGTACTATCTTTTATTGTGGATGAATGTTCGCGACAATAATGTTCACATTGAATGAAAAAAAGATTCATTCACGACAATCATTTATTTAATATTCTATGATTGTCAGTATATTCACAAACAGACTAAAAGCCGTGAGATGCATAGCTCAAAGATACAGTTTTCAAGTTGATTATATGATTTATCGAATACTTCTTCTGTGCTTACGTGCTCCTTATTAATCAATGATTTTCTCATTCGGAATAATATCGAATGAATCAGAAGAGTTTTTTTAGAATTAACGAGAAAAATCCAGATTGATACTGATGGAAAGAATATATTTTCCTATTTCTTGGAATTTTCGTAACTGAAGAAAAGAAAACAAGAAGAAACACCAGTACTTATAACTCGGTTTAGGTGAATAACAAATATAGTTATTATATATACGAATAGAGCACTAAATAATTGGATCCGATAAGAACAAATCCATGAAATAAAATAGTTTCGATTAGTTCTCATTTGTCGAATGATTACTATCTGTGAAGACCTTAGTCATTGAATTATAACATCTTATTTCTCTAGCCAAGATTTGACGAATATTTTTACGTACGCTATGGCATTATACACCTTCCGAAAACTAGCATAGATTTTGTTGGGATACATACATTGCTGTTCGATAACAATTCAATGCTTTTTTTTCGTTTTACAGGCATCTGATAATGTGTTGTTCATACATTCTGTTGAATTATATTTTTATAGGTACTTCATTCAGGATCGGGATGTTGATAACTCTGGTTGAAAAGAAGACATAAACTCATTGCTATTTCCGTACCTTTTACACAAAAAAATTATTCGAATTATAACTTCTCTGATTATAAATAGAACAACAAAAGTTTGTGCCTTTGGTGAGTTTTCTGCAAGATAATTCGGCGTTCAATCCTCCTTATCGAGTTCATTGCAACAGAAAATTTTCAAAAAAAGCTTTCGATCTACCAGGCGAAAAGGATTTCATAAATACTGCCCTTTTTAGAAAATAAAATATCTGAATGGTACAAAAAAACTGTGTGTTTTACTAAATGCAGCTTGAAAATATTTTTATTATGGATAACTACTAATCACGGTTTCATATCCCAACAGAATGCTAATTTTTATGCTTGAAATGTATAAGTTTGAAAAAGAGAAGAAAAATTTTGCTGATGTTTGTTCTACATATTGATCAGTTGTCAAATAATCGTGATAGTTCATCTTTGTTATCGAAAGTGACTTTGATTAATATTTTCTTTTACAATTTAATTCTTCATGCAATTAGTTGTTATATTATTTTTTTTTCGTTTAGAATTATAGATTTGAGTACACCGTTAATATATTAAAATGGTTCAAGTCGAGTCTCGTACAAAACAAACATTTGCATAATTATAATATATGATGTTAAAGTAAAAATCAAGTTTTAAATACTTTTTTTGCTGGATTAATTCTCAGATTAGAAACTAACAAATTTCGAGTAGTAAAAATACCATATTGACATACATAAACCACTTATATCATTATATATGTCATTCTTAAGACAAAACTTCTCTATTTATTTTTCAATTATAAAGTGTAATTACCATATTTATATGCTCGAACTTTTCCGTCGATTAGGAACCATGGTGGATAGTATAATATTCATATCTTTCACAGCCAGATGGATATACCTTATCATAGAATACATGACCATTTGCAAGGTAACCTGTCCCCATCCAAATGTCCTACCAGTTATGATTGAATTTTTACAAAGTAAAAGTGTTATTAAATCATCGCCCATGGAAAATGATTTTGGTGTAAGAAAAATATTCGATTCATTACGACATAGATTTTGACAATAAATCAATAGCAGTAAATAAATATTCATCAGATGAAGAATAGAACAGGCGAATAAAGTCTGTACGACGTACATGAATTCCAATCCATGTTGTTCAGTATGATTGAGCTAGTTGTTCTTTTAAATAATTTATGACTTTTCAATGAAAATTGAGGCTCGAAATTCACCTTCAGTTCATAAATATCAATGAATAGTTGTGAAACTTTCTCAAGTACGGATTATCTTGCAGCGAATATACGTCCTCGAATATCTTCACCATATTTAGCAAAATGAAGATATGATTGCCAATAACCACGTAATTCAAATATGTGTCCTGGTAAAATTGCATTTGAACGTGTCGGCTCAGGAAGATATTGACAAACAACACATTTTCCTATTGTAGTTATTGATTTTGAAGTATTGTGAATGAGTGAGTTGCACATGATTGTTGAAATAAGAAGAGGAGAAAGATCAAGATGACAAAAATGAAGACGAGCTAGATCATAAGCACTAGCAATCATAAACATTCGATTATCAAGTCGACCTAAACGAGTTTTTACATATACGATATATTGTACTTTTGGTTGTTGTAATGTTGTTAAAACCTATGTATGATTTGAACTATGAAAGTCAATATTTAATGTAGAATTCATAATTATGATATACATAGGAATAAAAATGATCAAAAAAATAATAAATGAAATTCGAATTGAGATGTACTTTGTTGGTTGAACATTATATTGATTCATAAATGGCTTTTGCTTTCTATTGAGATACTTACAATTGTCTTCACCTCATAAGAATAGAACGCTAGGGAACATTTTTGAAGAAAAACATACCATAATCTATATATAGAATGAGCATTTGTTGTATATATTCTCTGCTTTTCTGTGCTCTAACTACACATTCTACGAAAGACTATTTTGTGTAGTATTAACAAACCTCAATTTTTGTCTCTTGTGAAAAACATGCAAAATTGATACATCATAGCAATCAAAGAAGAGGAAAAAATGATGTGATTAACGTTCTAATGAACTTATAATTAGGCATCTATCAGCTTGAAAAGAATCTCATTTTCAAATGAATAAAATACTTTCAATTAGATGGGAGTGTATTAGTTGAATAGATATAATTTGACGGTTTTGTATTTGAAAGTAAATAATTTACTAATTATTCGACAAAAGAGGAGACCACTAAAGAATGTAATCAGTTCTGATGTCTGGGGATAACTTTCGTCGGAAAGAAACAGTTAGACTTCAGTCTTGTTGTGTGTGATTGACTCAAAAGTTAATGTGATCTACACTTTATAGGCTCTACAATATGATATCATAGCATAAAGATTAATTTGCGAGCGAAACACTTTAAGCAAGCCTAGAATTAATAAAATTTAATCACTAGTGCGTGCAGGGGCGAAAATGAGGTGTTCCTGTCGGGTATACGTCTTTCACAGTTAGTATAATTTGGCTGCGAAGCAGAATGGTCTCACTGTAACAAATCTTAAATAGATGTAAGGTAACGAAAATGCTTACTCTTACATGAGGCAGCATGTACAATGGAATATAGCTGAACTCTGCATGTCAATGCATAGCTACTTCGATAATAGTTTTCGTGAATATGAACATTTTGGACTGACATACTATATCTAGCAAAATGCGATTTATTCCACGAGCAAATACGAAAGCACTTTAGTATTTACATACGAATAATATATCATGCGCGAGAGTGTGGACAGTGCAGCTGCCGGTCTTCTGTACGTTCATTCACATCAATCACATTCACCCCACGCCCACACCCACATCCACGCCCTTACCAGAGAGTCCTTGTATTTTAATCCATGCTTTGTATAATTCATTTTCCAATGTTGTTGTAATTGTAAACGGAATTTTAATATCTGTATAATAATAATTGGTTGGCTTCTTTGATTTGAATTCTCCAATTTCTTTTGCCAAATAATTCATTATTTTTGATTTAGTATGCGCATCAATTTTTTCATCCAAAGCATATTGTGTCAATATTTTTAATATTTCATAAGCTTTTATAGCATTTTCGTTATTTAAAGATTTCAATAAGTCATCGATAAATTCATTTGATGATAAGTGTATAAGACGAATTCCAATTACAGAATATTCTCTCACAAGGTCTTCATCGAATAGTGTATTCATCGAATTTATGATTACTTTTTGGTCGGAGTTATCCGTCGTTCACAATAAAATAAAAGCACTACCTCTCGCCACAAAAGATGAATGATTGTTTAGCATATTTTCTAAAAGTTTGGCCATTTGAGCTTTATGAAAATCTGGAGCATTGGTAACTTTTCGATATAAATAGTGCTCCTTTTATTTTATTGTGAACGACGGATAACTCCGACCAAAAAGTAATCATAAA